ATGATGGTTGGATGGATGACGGATGGGTGGATGATGGTTGGATGATGGTTTGATGAATGACGGATGGATGGATGATGGTTGGATGATGGTTGGATGGATGACAGATGGATGGATGGATGATGGTTGGATGGATGACGGATGGGTGGATGATGGTTGGATGATGGTTTGATGAATGACGGATGGATGGATGATGGTTGGATGATGGTTGGATGGATGACGGATGGATGGATGATGGATTGATGATGGTTTGATGGATGACGGATGGATGGATGATGGTTGGATGATGGTTGGATGGATGACAGATGGATGGATGATGGATGGATGATGGTTGGATGGATGGATGATGGATGGATGATGGTTGGATGGATGATGGTTGGATGATGGTTGGATGGATGACGGATGGATGGATGATGGTTGGATGATGGTTGGATGGATGACAGATGGATGGATGATGGTTAGATGGATGGATGGATGATGGATGGATGATGGTTGGATGGATGGATGATGGATGGATGATGGTTGGATGGATGGATGATGGATGGATGATGTTTGGATGGATGATGGATGGATGGATGATGGTTGGATGATGGTTGGATGGATGATGGATGGATGGATGATGGTTGGATGATGGTTGGATGGATGACCGATGGATGGATGATGGTTGGATGGATGACAGATGGATGGATGATGGATGGATGATGGTTGGATGGATGGATGATGGATGGATGATGGTTGGATGGATGATGGATGGATGATGTTTGGATGGATGATGGATGGATGGATGATGGTTGGATGATGGTTGGATGGATGACGGATGGATGGATGATGGTTGGATGATGGTTGGATGGATGACGGATGGATGGATGATGGTTTTATGATGGTTGGATGGATGACAGATGGATGGATGATGGATGGATGATGGTTGGATGATGGTTGGATGGATGACAGATGGATGGATGGATGATGGTTGGATGGATGACGGATGGGTGGATGATGGTTTGATGAATGACGGATGGATGGATGATGGTTGGATGGATGACGGATGGGTGGATGATGGTTGGATGATGGTTTGATGAATGACGGATGGATGGATGATGGTTGGATGATGGTTGGATGGATGACAGATGGATGGATGATGGATGGATGATGGTTGGATGGATGGATGATGGATGGATGATGGTTGGATGGATGATGGTTGGATGATGGTTGGATGGATGACGGATGGATGGATGATGGTTGGATGATGGTTGGATGGATGACAGATGGATGGATGATGGTTGGATGGATGGATGATGGATGGATGATGGTTGGATGGATGGATGATGGATGGATGATGGTTGGATGGATGGATGATGGATGGATGATGTTTGGATGGATGATGGATGGATGGATGATGGATGGATGATGGTTGGATGGATGACGGATGGATGGATGATGGTTGGATGGATGACGGATGGATGGATGATGGTTGGATGATGGTTGGATGGATGACAGATGGATGGATGATGGATGGATGATGGTTGGATGGATGGATGATGGATGGATGATGGTTGGATGGATGACAGATGGATGGATGATGGTTGGATGATGGTTGGATGGATGACAGATGGATGGATGATGGATGGATGATGGTTGGATGGATGGATGATGGATGGATGATGGTTGGATGGATGCAATCCATTAAATGCAACATGTATTTTTTTGCTTAAGCAGGATAGAAAGGTTGAATGTGGGGGTGTAGCAACAAACATAAAAGAGGCAATATGTTTGTCCTGTTTTCACCTCCTTTATATATCCTGCTGTTGTTGTTCTGGTTTTCAGTAATAAAATTCCAGAAGTGGCATCCTATGGTTTCAGGAGATCCAGTCAAAGCAAAAAAAAAGCAGCTTGGTCAGACTTCCTGTTTGTTCTGTTGAGTTGCAGCTGAATATTTATTTAACAGCATTTCCTAAAGACAAAGAACAAGTTGTAGAATAGAAGTTGAGCATGCTGCCACCTTTATGTCTCCTGAGCTGCTTCTTCTGACTCCTCTGTAGCCGTTTAAATCTTGTAATTCTGATAGTGTTTATTGGCAGTGAAAATGCAAATAATAAGTGATATCTGAGCTTAACATGAAAATTGACACAGATCAAGGGAATGGCTAGGAACTTAAAGGTTTTAAAACTCACTAGGACTGACATGTTGTGTGTGTTTGTAGGTCCTAATTTTCCTTACTTTAAATACTAAATTAATGTAAGGGATGTAAAATGTTAATGTTGCACATATATAAAGGCTTTTCATCAAGTATCCCTTTCATCCTCCAAGCAATAGTTTCCATATTTTCTGAAGATCCCAGAGTCGGCCTCTGCAGATGGCCGCTCACACTGAGCCTGGTTCTGCTGGAGGTTTCTTCCTGTTCAAAGGGAGTTTTTTCTCTCTACTGTCGCTACAAGCATGCTTAGTGTGAGGGATTGCTGAAGAGTCAATGAGTCGATGCAATCAACTGGTTTTCCTTAGATGGAAAACTTTGAATCAATTTGACTGGATGATCTGGTGAACTGGAAAGTGACCTGAGATGACATGTGTTGTGAATTGGCGCTATAGAAATAAATTTAATTTATTTAATTGAAAGAGGTTTTTTTTTAGTTTGGCTGCTTTTTCACTAATTTTCTTAAAATTTCCACAGAAATATCTATAGTTCAATTAATTTAAGTTTTATATTTTGCATTTGTGCTGTCAGTAAGAAGTTTAATTGAATATTGGATTACCGAAAGTTTGTAGCAACAATTAGAGTTAATTTAGTTATAATGCTAATTAGCACCACTTGCCTATTATGGGTTTTAACATCCTATTAAATCTAAATATACTGATCAGTTACAACCACTGTTCTCAGTCATTAGTGTCTTTCTTTAAAAAAAAAAAGACTTACATATTAAGCCCTGCAGTTTAGAAGTACTCACTAAATAACTTGGTGTTGCTAAAAAGTTGCTTTCAGGATCCTTTCGAAGTCAACTATAGAGCATATATGATGACATGTTGCCTTGCTTTGAAATATTCGTTTTCTCCCAAGAAACTATGGAAGCCCAGAGTGGTCATGTCCCTCTGATACTTTTTCACAAAGGTTTTCTCGAGAAAACATGTTAATTTTCTCATTATATAAAGATAACAAAAGCCATTTTCTCATCATAACGAGATGATTGGTGTTAAAACTGATTACATTCTTCAATACCACAACAGCGGGAGAGGATTTATAAGTCATGGCAGCCTATGTGTAATTCTGTAAATAATCCTGTGTTTAATTTTTAGGTAACGAGACGACGTTGTTTCATGATTTGCTTCTGATTCATACGCAATCACATCTATGCCTCCAGGTGTTTTTTGAACAGCCCGGTGTTACGCCTGTAACACTGGGCGTTAATGGTTAATGGTTACTGTAGGATACATTAACCCCCAAAATGAGCCCAGATTAGAGATTTTTATTAAAAAAAACAATCAGATTTTTTCATGTATTCCATGCAATCCAATCATCCACCACAGCCTGACACTAGCTACGTTTACATGGACACAACTAATCGGATTTAAGGCCTGATCAGATCAAAAATGTTTCATGTAAACATGTCAGACTGAAGATTCTAATCCGATTCGGTCCGATCGGATCTAAATTTAATTCCGAATGAGAGAGGTGGTTTTTGCCGATCGCCATTCCGATTGGCGTCCATGTAAACACCCATTCGGATCTTAAGAGTAAAATAGTCTTCACTGCGCATGTGTGCGACGTCAGCGTGACGTTTTTTCGCCTTGTCAACAACAGGAAACCACCGGTCGCTCTCGCTCTGTTTGTGAACAACATGGCGGGAGGAAAGTCGAAGTGGTCTGTCACCGACACCTGTTTCTTGCTTGAAACCTTAAGGGAGCTCAACATAATTGAACGCCTTGATGGCAGAAAGTCTAGGAACGCAGACTTATACAGTCAAGTTCATTTAAAGCTGCAGGAAGCAGGAATTGACAGAAGTATCGACCAGATAAAAAATCGATGGAAGAGTTTGAAAGCGGCCTATAGGGCTTGGTCGTCGTGACGTAGGCACTTCGCGTCGCCGCCATGTTGAATGCGTCTTTTACCGCGGCTCAGACTACTGCCTATGACTACCGGGTACTGTACTCCCTCTCAGCCGTGTTTTAATTTGATTAATTTCACCTTAACTTGATTTCAACCATGGTAAACCGTTGCTGTATTGTGGGCTGTAACAGCTCAACACATGATCGCCATGGAAACATAGAAAATGGGTTAACTTTCCACCGCTTTCCTGAATGGACGCGTAACCATGGAGACCAAGCGTCAGAGATAGAGTCGTCGGCTAGCTTGGATCGCGGCTGTAAGATGACCGAACATAACTTTCCACAGTATTCCAATGTCATTGAGAGTGTGTTCCCTGCATTTTCATTCTGGTAAGTTAAAGATGCACGGTTTTATTTTATAGCCTACTTTGTTTCTTTCCTTCAAAGTTGGGATCTTTTACGGGAAAATAATAAAAACGGCAGCGGGAAAATGCTCAAATACGTGAGAAACCCGGAGGGTTGGCAGTTAACGTTACTAACTACACATTTGAAACACATAGCAGCTAGTTAAAAGTACATTACATGCGTGAGTGGTTGTTAGCATTAGCGGTTAGCAGTTGCTAAACTAGCAGGTTCCAGAGTCCGTCTGATCACAGCTTACCTTCGTACGGATTACTGTGTTCCCACTGTTTGCTGGCTTTATGATCTGCAACTCCTGAACCCATCCATTCATGAACTGCACAGGAGACTCCAAGGACTTGTAGCTTCGGAACTGTTTTGAAGTATAGGCGCTCACTCATCGGTGCTCCACTCATTGTTTGGAACTTTATATGGATCCAAATGATTAATAATGCTGATTTTGTCACCATACCGGTCCCTGGCTTCTCTATTTAATGTGTCCCGGTAAATTCCAGATCCTTTTCGGGATTTTAACATCTTTTTTCTCTCTACTTCTGTCTCTTCTT